TATGTAAGTCGGAACTGGCGTCCAGATCCAGCCTGTTGAAACTGATCAGCGGCTGATTCCAGGAAGCCCAGAGCAGAGCAACTCTGCCTTGGGCTTCCTGTAGTCAGCCGCTGGTCAGTTTCAGCAGTGGCTGAATCGGGACGCCAGTTCCGACTTACATACAGATTCAACTTAAGAACAAACCTATAGTCCCTATCTTGTACGTAACCTGGGGACTGCCTGTATAGCCATAGAAACACCACTCTCCTAAGTGACATAGTTATACTGGTGCAGAAACCAGTCCATAAAGTAATCATGAATTGTCCCATATATTGCTGGCAGCCCTAGTGAAGAATTTGTTAATATTTATCAGGTTCAGTATTTGTGGGAAAACACCAAGGACTACAGACAAAAAGGCCTAGTGCTTGGAGCATCTGCAACACTTATCTCTGAGTATGCAGTTCACCCATCACACTACACTGCTTTTGAACACAGGAGGAGTCAGACAGGAAGACATAGTTACTTTGCCCACAGTTCCAAGCTTCTTTCCAGACAGCACTTAGCCCCAAAGCTTCATCTCTAGCCTTTTCTCAGAGCCTCATCCCTAGTGCTGCTTTTGGGTGTGTCTAGTTCTCTGCTGATTTTCTTTTCCCGTCTCTCTCTCTCTCTCTCAAACACACAACTCTTTTCATATAAAACAGTACCCAGTGAAACTCCTTTGCCCACCGTTCCTTTCATGTGCCTTTGTTTTGGACGGTGACATGCCTGTGTTCAGACTCACTGACAGGAGGGACAAACGGGGCAACTGTCCTGGGGCCTGGTGATACAAAAGGGACAGGAGCTCCAGGCTGCTGCTGCTGCTGCAGGAATAGTGGCAGCTGGAGCCCCAGCCCCTTTAAATTGCCCACGGAGCTCCACACAACTCATTCCAAGCAGCACTGAGGGATGCCTGGGGGAGGAGTGGCAGGTGGCACTGAAGGTTGCCTAGCCTGAGCCCTGCCCCTTCTGCCTGAGGCCCCAGCCCGTCCAGGGGTGTGGAGCAAGGTTTCCTTCCTATCTTTCCCAGGGGCCCTGTGAGGCTGTCAGCCCTGCTGCCTGTATAATGAGTGGAGGATTTCTAGTTCCATACCTACAGGTTCCCAAACTGGGGGCAGCTGGTCCTGGACCTGCCCCATGGCAAGGGGAGAGGCGGTGGAAGCATTATCCAGCCCCTCTCTGCTCCCAGCTCTACTCCAGCCCAGCCATGGTCCTAGTTCCCAACCCTGCCCCCATCTTTAGTGCCTGACCATGGCTCTGCCTCCTGCTCTGGTCCCATCCCCAATTATAGCCCAATCCCTGGTCCCTTGCCTCTCTCACCTGGCCCTGGCCCCAGCTCTAGAGGGGGCCATAGATGAGGTAAATAGAGATGTGATGCTGAAAAGTTTGGGGACCACTAACTTAATTGTGTCTTACATTTTTCCCAAATGAGGTTTGGCTGTTACATCCATCAGTTTCAATGAGGTTTAACCCAACCCGTAACAATACCAAGGGGGTTCTAAGGAGCAGGAAATTCTCATGACAGAACAAGGATGAGAGCTCTCTGGAGCAGAACTATAGAAAGCTAGTTGCCATGGCAGCTGTGAATCATCTTAAACCATAGTCATTTTAGAAGTTAAAAATGATAAAAGTGGCCTTCGTTGTATCTCAGGTACTTATTGAAATCAGAAAAACGCAATGAACTATGCTGACCATCTGTGGGCAGCCACTGGGGAATTACTTGTGCCTTTAGTTGAAGTAACCTGCTACAGAGTGAATTGTGGTTTGGCTTTCCTCTGCTGAGAGGAAATTCACATGTAGGAAGGAGCGTTCAGTGGCATTGCCAAGATTTACAGTTTCTTTTGTATCTTCCAGAGCCTTGTGCAGCACAGAAGGCCTGAGGCCTTTTCCAGCATAAAGAGTTTAAAATATGTAAAGACTGTGCATGCTACGGGAGCTTCTGGGAACGGTTTCAGCACTTTGTATTTTCTCCCCATTTTGTGCTTGTTCATCAAAGGGTAAACATTTCAAGCTAAATTATTCAGAAGGGATTTAAGATGTGTTTTCCTCACGTTCTGCTGAATACAAATGTGAAGAGAGAAAAATATATCAAGTGTCCTGCTTTGTTTTTGTTCACTGATTAAATTGGGATTTTTCAGGAAGGGGATTGTGCAGCTCTACGGCCACCTCCCCCTTCACCAGAACAGGATCTCGACAGAAGGCCACTGCTGCTTTGGTTTGGAAAAGGCTACATCATAGACAGAAAAGAGAAAGATGGGCAGGGCCTGGAACAACATTGAAATTATGGATGGCTCCACTGCTAGACCTGGTACACAAGTGGTATTTCATCAGTAAGATGGAGCAAAAAGTAATGGTTACAATATGTTAGAAAGAAACAAAGTGGTATATTTGGACAGTAATTTTCCAACATCGCAATAAAGAACACAGGCTAAACTATTAGTAATAAACACTCCTTTGACAAAAATGTTCCTTAAAAGGGACTAAAAAAATCTGGCCTGGGAGTCCCAGCAGCACTGTCCTGTCCCTAGGATGATTCAGGGTGGCTGTGGGGTAACCGCCTCAACCGTCCTATGGACAGGATGGACCCAGGGAATTACAGGGGCCTTGCAGGCTGGTAGGGGGACCTATCTGTCCCATACCTCAAGCTCCACCCTCTCTCATTCATAGAACCCTATTCTCAGGCTTGCCAACAGAGGGGGCAAAGGGGCAATTGCCAAAGGGCTCAATGATTCAAGAGGCCCAGGGCAGTGGTGCCTGGAGCCCATTAAATTGCCACCAGAGTGCTGTGTGCCTTGCTCTGGGTAGCTGTTAGGGCTGCCTGGAGAGGTGGGGCGCAACACACTCCAGGCAGCGCTTGGGGAGTGCCGTGGTCTGGGCTGCATTGATGTCCAGGGGCCCTTGGCCCCGCCCCTTCTGCCTAAGGCCATGCCTCTTCCGGGAATGTGAGGCCAATCCCCCCGGCACCTTGCCTAGGGGACCAACATGACTGTCAGCTCCTATACCCATAGCCCAAGGGATGCAGCCTTGGGTATTACTGAGGTGGGGCCTGGTGTGATTAAAATGATGTTAAAATAGAAACATCAACAGTAAATTTTTCTTTATATATGTCAGTAATATCAAACTTTTCTGCTTGGGATGAACTGAGACCAGATGGGAACTCCTGGAAGTGCTTTTTTGATATTTTGAGTTTGTACTCATGCACTGTGTTGCCAGCTCTATATACTATTTAAGGAAACATTTTTTTAAAAAGAGGTGGAATAAAAAAATGGGTACACTGTGTAGTAAAATAAAGAACTGCTATTGCCACTCTAGATCATTCAGTCAATTTTTTTATTCTGTAGTGCCAATGATGGAAACACCTCATATATTGTTAATAATGATAAACACAAACTAGATTTCAAACAGAATAAAAGTAAGTAAAAAGAAAACTTATGAGTGAAGCCATAATCTTGCTTTAAGAGAGTTGAGGACACTTCCAAGTCCTAAGGGGAAGTAATTCCACCGATGAGAAATATAACAAGTGAAAAGACAGCATGAAATAAGAGCCCAAGTATGTGGTACCTATAAAGATCCTGTTTAGGCAGAAGTACAAAAATTTCTCAAGGACAAATATTACTTAAAGAACCTGGAGAATGACAATGCAATTGAGAAAACATTAAATCAATATGTTGTCAAACCAGTAATGGGTCAGGTTAGTTCATAAACTTAAAGGATTTTTTTTCCAAACAAAATCTAAATTGCATTCACGATATATATTTGTACACAGAATACGTGCATACTCACTGAACCTAGGTAGTTTCACTTACAAAAAAGAATCACATCTTTGTATCTGTTCATTGCATGGGAGCTAGTTAGACCACTTCTATTTAAAAATGTGACCCAAAGGAAAGTGCTTGGGTGCTGTGTATTGCTAATAATTGAAAAAGGTGCACTGAAGCCTGCATAACTAACTGTAGCAGAAGGAGTCACACAGATGCCTGCAAGCAACCGAGAACAACAAATGAGAACACTGAACTGTGAAAAATAGTTCAAAGTTCTCTTTCTAAATGCCTGATTCTTGTGATCCTGATGCAAGTACAGCTGCCATGGTCAGGATAACAGAATTGCTCTACTAATGTAAAATTACAAGGCCAAATTCTGTCAAGGGCCTAAATAAGGGCAGAATTTGTACTTTATTTCTGGAAACCTTGTAATTTTTAAAAACTGAGTTAATATAGTTTCAAATTCTTACCCCTACACTGGAGTCTCTACGTCAATATTTGTGCTTAAAGACCCATTTATTTGTTTATTTTTCAAAATCTGTTCTTCTATTCTGTTGATGGGAGAGAAGACATACCAATCACAGAGAAAAATACTGAGTGCTAGATTGAGAATTTCTTAGTCACAGTGACAAGCAGTTACTCATCCATGTACTCTCATTGTTTAATGGAGAATAACCCCCCGCCAGTGAAAGGGGTTCACAATCATTAGTCAGGGGATACAGGGAAATGTACTATACACAAAGTGCCATCAATTGCACAAGTAAATACACTGACAAACAGAAAAGTCTGCATTCTCTAAAAGTGTTATAGTAATCTCAGGTATTTCTTGAAATAAAAGGGCATTCAATCAGTTTAAGATTCACTTATATCTGAAAATTGGTATCACTTCAACCAAATATATATATATTTGTTTCAGCTAAACTCGTTTAAATTCATTTTCTCATTGCATTTACTCATGTGCTGTAGCCATCATATAACTAGTTTGAAAACCTAAGTGAAATTCAGACTTCGCTTTCTTATCCAAGTTGGCTGTAAGCTACATGGCCATGTAGGTGTCTAGTTAGCATCTCACAGGTGTTCAAGGCTCCTGACCAAAGAGGGAAGGAGGGGTGCCCTGCCTCCAAGTTGGTCTGGCTTCCAGCCTATTGCAGTGGGGGAAGGAACAGGCTGAACCCACCACCTCTCCCCTGGCCTAAACACAACTACAGCCTGGGCACTCCAGCCCCAGAGTGCCTCTGCCATGCCATACCCGGATCAATCCAGTCTGACCCCGCAGCCTCCCATGGGCCCCAGAGCCCCTAGTGCAACGTAGGCAGCCCTGCTGTGGCCTGGGTGGCTCAGCTCTGCCCCCCTCCCCACATCCTTCCATCCCAACCTTCTGTCCCCTTCATCTCCAGCTTTAGATTATGCACCCCCAGATGGAGCCCTCACCCTCCAACACCTGAACCCTCTGTGCTAAGCCTGAGCCTCTTCCGACACTCAGAACATCTTTGCACCACTCCCACCACCTGAATTTTGTTATGCGCACCAATGCGAAGGCGATGTGTTGCACATCATCTCCATATCGGTGCACGTAACAAAATTCAGTCTGCTCTGGGGTGGGAAAAATTAGAGGGAACTTTGCACCTCACCCAGTTATTTATCTATCACCAAGAATTAGGTGTTAGCACACATTTGTTGGGCATAAAAGATCCACAGGCATGATAATCCTAGTAATAGAATTATAAATCATTCTAATTAAATTTATATTTTTTGTACAATGATATGGTAGTAAAATAGAGCTACAACGTTTGTCTCCATTTGAACTTTCCCAGAGTTTGAAGTTGTTCAGAAGAGATGCAAGTTCATTTGTCCTCATAGGGTATGTCTATAATGCAATTAGAAACCAGTGGCTGGCTTGTGCCAACTGATTCAGGCTAAAGGGCTGGTGAATTGTGGCATCGCTCAAGCACAGTGAACTCAAGTCAGCCTGCAAGTGCCAGCTGTAGATTTTAAACTGCAGTGTAGACATACTTGGAAAGAGTAGATGTAGCTTAGGTGAGTCACTTGGACATATTGTTAAGTGTATTTTAGTGGCTCTGTCACATGATGTGAGTCGTGATTTACAAGACTTTTGTCTAGGTTATGTAACACAAGTCATTTTTTATTAACTTCATTGGTTACTTTTACAAGGACCAGCTGCCGCATTTGGACGGAGAGTTCCCAACGTCCAAGATGTTGGAATCTATGTTGGTTTATGCTCAGTTCTACAGACAAGGTAGGCATGAGTTGGTGACTGCTTTTTTTCATATGAAACTGCTAATTCCTTCAGCCCCCTGACACCCACAGGAACATTTTTGCCCTCTATAATAAACATTTGTGATATTGCTTCAAGAATTTAATTATAAACATATTCATGTGGCTTTGGAAGACAAGGCTCTTGGTCAATGAATTATCAGGCTAAATAATCACAGTGTAAACCTGGATACAAGAGAGCATAACTGTATAACCACCAGTTTTCACACACAACATTCACTACATATATAAGATATGAGGCTGGGGTATCAGAGGGGAAATAAATAATATGTTCTTTGTTTCTTCAACGGTCTACAACAATTTATTACATGAATGGTAAAGATCATAGAACGTAACTAGGACAAAGCAGATCTAGGGTATGTCTACACTTGCACCCTCTTTCGAGAGAGGGATGCAAATGAAGACATTTGAAATTGCAAATGAAGCCAGGATTTAAATATTCCATGCTTCATTTGCATATTCGCGTTATGGCGCTATTTCAAAATAGCGCTATCTCGAAATAACAGACACTGTTAAGATGTGGTTATTTCGAGAGAAAACTCTTCTCTCAAAATAACTAGTAAACCTCATTGTATGAGGAATAAGGGTTATTTTGAGAGAAGAGTTTTCTCTCGAAATAACTATGTCTTAACAGCGTCTGTTATTTCAAAATATCGCTATTTTGAAATAGTGCCATAACGCGAATATACAAATGAAGCACGGGATATTTAAATCACGGTTTCATTTGCAATTTTGAATGTCTTCATTTGCATCCCTCTCTCGAAAGAGGATGCAAGTGTAGACATACCCCTATACTAAAACAAGAGACTTAAGAACAAAGCCTTTTGGGATACTAGCAACAGTGGGTCGAGTGCAAAAGTTGGCACCTCATTAAAAACAAATTACTTGCAACTGGATAGGTCAAAAGATACATTTTAATCTTAAAGCTATTTATTCAAATCCAGGTCAACATCAAGAATATAGCCATTTGATGGCCTTTGAGAGCCATGGTCTCAATCGATTTACCAGTGCACAGGTAAATTCCAGCAAAACCCAACATCACAATGGACACTTATTAGGTTCCTTGTTTACAGTCATGGAAGTGATGCCAAGGAATTAATGAGCCTAAAAACTAGTCACTAAATTATTTGCACATTCTGGCAGATAGATTCTGGGTCAGGCATAAAGCACATTGACTGTGCAACATGGAGAAGTGGTCACAGACACTGCCACCTTGTATCTGCTCAGTAGGTAAATGCACACCTTCAATCTCAAGGGTTGTCAGTCTGGTACCATTCCCCAGCAATCAATTCACTTCAAACTCAGTAAATGAGGAGGGAGTTGTACCAAGAGAGAACAATCTATAGACTCAAGGAGAGATGATGGATAATTTCTGTCAAAAATGTTGGTGGTGTGTGAAAGGACAATTGCAGATGGCATCTGAGGATCAGCATTTTGCCACAAGCTACAGAGCTCTTCGTGTGTGGGAAATGTACCCAGAAAAGTTGACATTCCAGAGGGCTGGGGTGGGAGGTGAGGGAGATGGTGAGAAGCCTCATTGATGACACTTTTGAGAAATAAGGAGGCACTGTTCCTGCAATGAGGACTTTATAAATGAAGAGCTGTTATTGTTGTCAGGACTTAAAAGACAAGCATCAAAATGCAGCTAGCTCTCAAAGAAAGTGGTAGAGAAGGGAGGGACAAGGATTAAAACAATAAATAAAAGGCTGCGAGTCATAGCTTATTGTTCTTGAAGCTCTGATATTTTTGTCAGTCATCGCTGACGTTAGGTTGCTTGGGATAAATGGTTGCTTGGGATTTTCAGGAGGTCAAAGGGCACCAGATTAATTTCTGGGAGTAATTGTTGAGGGAACACTGTGGGGCAGGTTCTGCACCTAGTGCTGAACTTGCATCCTGCTACACTGGCCTGTGTGTCCTTGAAGTAGTGATGGCACATGTCTGTCCATCTTGAGACTTCAGAACATCCCAAAGCTGGGCCAGTGGCTCCTGCCAAGGGCACGTAGTTCCTGAAATATCCCCTGCTGGGATGGTGGAGGGGGACAGATATTCAACAGTGTGATGCTGTTGCAAAAAAAGCAAATATGATTCTAGGTGGTATCAACAGGTGTGTTGTAAACAAAACTCGTGAAGTCATTCTGCCGCTCTACTCTGCACTAGTTAGGCCTCAGCTGGAGTACTGTGTCCAGTTCTGGGCGCCACATTTCAAGAAAGATGTGGAGAAATTGGAAAGGGTACAGAGAAGAGCGACAAGAATGATTAAAGGTCTAGAGAACATGACCTATGAAGCCAGGCTTCAGGAACTAGGCTTGTTTAGTTTGGAAAAAAGAAGATTAAGGGGGGACATGATAGCGGCTTTCAAATATCTAAAAGGGTGTCACAAGGAGGAAGGAGAAAATGTGTTCCTCTTGGTTACTGAGGACAGGACAAGGAGTAATGGGCTTAAAGTGCAGCAGGGGAGGTTTAGATTGGACATTAGGAAAAAATTCCTAACTGTCAGGGTGATCAAATATTGGAATAAATTGGCAAGGGAGGTGGTGGAATCTCCTCTCTGGAGATATTTAAGAACAGGTTAGATAGACATCTGTCAGGGATGGTGTAGATGGAGCTTGGTCCTGCCTTGAGGGCGGGGGGCTGGACTCGATGACCTCTCGAGGTCCCTTCCAGTCCTATTATTCTATGATTCTATGATTCTAACCCTTCGCTGCAACAGCAGGAAGAAACAGCTAAAACACTCTCAGGGTACGTCAACACTACAGCGTTATTTCAAAATAAGTTATTTTGGAATAATAACACCCAAAATAACTATTTTGAAATAGCACGTCCACACTACAAATCCCCATTAAAATAGAGCAGAGCTATATCGAAATTGCTCATCCACTCTTATTGGAGCCTGAATTGCATATAAGGGCCCCCCAGAAGCACTCCGGGCGGGTCATCAGGACAGCACCCACATCTTGGAGCTACTGCCTGAGGTTGAAGCTCGTGCTTAAACCCCTCTACGGCTGCATCTCTGAACCTTCTCCATTGCCTACCTCATTGAGGGACAGCAAACACCACATTGCATGCTCTGGTTGCCTTGTGGATGCCACAGCACTCCTACCATGGAGCCAGACCTGCTGCAAAGCAGTCACTGGCTCAGCCCTGCTGCTATACCTCCTGGCACAGTTTATGCAGGCTGCCCTCATGCCACTGCTTGAGGATGATGACCAGCCTGTAATGGGGGATTCCCTCATCCAGACCTGGGCATTCTTCATGCACCACAGTCCCTCTCACCCTGTCCCCCACCCCATACCATGCACTGCTGCTTCTGGCAACCGGAGACCAGTACCGACTGGTGAGACTGGATCTTCATGGAGGGTGGGACAACCAGCAGTGGCTCCAGAACTTCTGCATGTGGATGGGCACCTTTCGGGAGCTCTGCAAGTGGCTCGCCCCTGCCCTCTGGCAAAGGGACACCCATATACGACCTGCCATCCCCCTCCAGAAGTGTGTTACCATCATTATTTGGAAGCTCATTATCTGGACAGCTACCACTCTGTCAGAAACCAGTTCAGTGTGGGGAGATCGACCGTTGGGGCTATGCTCATGTAGGTTTGACTCTCTTGTTATTGTCCCAGAATGGCAGTGAACTACTGGAATGGGGTTCCCTGGGGAAGGGAGGTGGTAGACTCTCCTTCCCTAAAGGTTTTTCAGTCCCAGCTTCACAAAGACCTGCCAGGGATGGAGTACTTGGGGTTGTTCTTACTGTGGGAAGGGGTTTGGGCTCAGGGAACTCTCTGTGATCAGTGGTCCCTCTAAGCTGACTGACTGGGCAGGGCTGATTAGCTACCTGTGAAGCTGTACTGCCACACAGCTTAAAGGGAACACTGCTTCTAATTCTCTGTTTGTATTCTTCTACAGGTGGTACGGGCCATCCATACCACTCTGCTGTGTAGGGTTGTCAACCTGTACCACCAAGGTCAGGGAGGTGGACATTCCGATGTGCACTGTGGGTGATACATCCTACCCCTTTCTCTCCTGGCTAATGAAGCTCTACATGGGACACCTGGACCCCACCACAGAACAATTCAATGCCAAGTTCAGAAGATGCCTCATCATGGCAGAGGGTGCTTTTGGCTGCCTCAGAGGAAGGTTCCTGTGTCTCCTCACCCACCTGGACCCTGGCAACTGGAACAACCCCCAGGTGGTGGTAGCCTGCTGTGTCCTTCACAACCTGGGTGAGAACAAGGGGGATATGTTCCCATCAGGATGGGGGGCAAAGACTGAGTGGCTTGCTAGAGCTTTTGAGCAACCATGCACTGCTGCCATCCGACAAACCCAGGGGGCCTGTGCGCATCTGGGAGGCCCTGAGGGAGAGTTTCAGCCAAGGCCAGCTGTGACACTCTTCCCTTGGGCCTCCCCATAAGAGGCCTCTGCATAGCTCCTGTGTGCCTTTCCTCTCCCACCCCTTCCATCCCCTCCCTGCTGCACTCCACCCTCCCCTGCACACCAAATAAAAAAAGACTTTTTGTTTGAAACAATAAACTCTCTGATGTTTATTTGAGGGAATTTAGAACTGGGGAGGTACTGGAGAAAGAACCTGGGAAGGGGGAGGAGGGGAAAAGAGGGGGGAAGAGTGACTCAGGGATGGGACTGAGAATTACACCTGCCTCAGGTAGTGGGGCTAGGAGAAGAAGCTGGGATGCAGGAGCAGGGGTGGTTGCTGGGGGGACGTGGGAAAAAATGGGTGCTGAGGTGTGGCTGCTAGACTGTTCCATGGTGTCAAACAAGGCCATCTGTGACCTAGGCAGTGGGTAATGCCCTGCAAGGGCACAATGTTCTGGGGGAGCCTTGCTACCTCCATCCCCCAGATGCAAGCTGGCATGGGAAGATGCTGGCCATGGAGGGGTGACGGGCCAGTTTGTCATCCCCTCCTCTGTGATGTGTACACACTGGGTCTGGCAGTGGCCGTATCCCACAGAGAGAGAAATTCTATCCCTACCTGCTGGAGGAGATGGGGAAGGGTGTTGGGGGAGGTGTGTGTGAGCGGCAGACACTGCTTGCCAGGGAGTGTGCTACTGGGGTCCCCTTCTCTTCCTGTCCCCTCTCCCCCTGCAGATTCCCCTGCTGGGGATCAGTGTCCCTCTTTTTTGTCACGCTTGACCAGGAGCAGATGCTGTCCTAAGAGTGCAGGCATGACTGTGTGCTGGGGGCAGCACTGCTGTGTTTTTTCCTGTTCCTAGTCTCCTTAGTGATGGCTTGTGGTGGGAAGGTGTCCCACCACAAAGTCCAGAGAAAAACAGGCCTGTGCAGGAACCTTGTGAGAAGGAGCAACCAGTTCCTGTGTGGCAGCCTCATGCAGCTGTCTGCTCCAGACTGCTGTTCCATGTGCACCAACATGCACAGGCTGTGGTGTAATCCCCCAGCCAAAAAGGCTAAGTGAGGAGAGCACAACCCCTTGCCATTTGCCGCCTCTCCCCACGTGTGTCTATGGAAACTAATGGAACTCACCTCCTCCATCATCTCCTCATTTTCCTTGTCCACAGCCCCTCTCACCTGGAGGCTGACAACAGGTGTTTCTAGGATGGAGCCAATGACAAAGGGGGAATGGACTGACCCCCCCTCCTAGGATGCAATGCAGATGTTCAAAGTAGTGACATGACTGGGGTGCCGCACCTGATCAGAAACTTTGTTCCCTGGACTTTGTGTTGTCCTAGCACAGCTCTTTTATTTTCATGTGCACCTGCTCCTGGGTGCACCTGCTCCTGGGTGCACATGTGGCCCTTCTGGGCTAGGCTGGCAGTCATCCAGCTGTAGACTTCGGCACTCTTGCACCTGCTGTGGAGATCCTGTAGGGTTAGCCTCCTCTCCCCAGACCTCAATGAGATCCAGGATCTCTGCACCAGACCAGGAATGGGCCCCCTTCTTCTGCCCTGGGCCAGGGACTTCAGAGTTGGCTACTGGCTCACTTTCAGCCCTGGGGTTGCAATGGCAGTGTTGGAGTCACTTATGGCTGCACTGATGGATGCTGCTCTGTGGCGCATGGTCAGTGTGGTACCACAAACCCTTTCTCTCCTATCTGTACCTTTAACCGGTGTGGATAGAATGGCCACTAGGGCGACTGTGAGAAGCCCTAGAGGCTAAATATTTTGAAATAAGCACAGCTGCATCATCCACACTCACGCTATTTCAAAATAGCTATTTCAAAATAAACGTTATTACTTGTGAAATGAGGGTTTACTATTTTGAAATAAGAAGTCTGTTATTTTGAAATGATTTTTAAATAACATGCATGCTGTGTGGATGCTTATCTTGTTATTTCAAAATAACTCCTGTAGTGTAGACATACACTCAGGGACCAGGAAGAAATTGATAAAAAGATACTAAAAGTTTCAGGGGGGAAATCTTTTGATGTGAGTACAAATTGACACCAGGATACAGTGAGGCAAAAGAGTTAGCAGGAGAATTAATAATGAAAAAGGCAAGAAAAAGAACAGACAACTTAACAGGGAAATGCTTAAAGATAAATTTCTCAGGAGAAGAACTGGAGGAGAAAGATGTTTTGAAAAGGATAGCTATCTTCCCTATATTGATTGGTCAGATCAGGGGAAAAGAGGAGGCATTCTTGTTCTAAAACACGTCTAATATAAGAGCCTCTTCTATTTATAAAAGTGGGAACAAATCTGAAATTTATTAAGTAGTTAGTCTGTAACTTTAAAAGCAACAGGTAGTCCTGTGTCACCCTTGAGACTAAAACATATACATAGTATCATGAGCTTTAGTGGGCAAAACCCACTTCTTCAAATGAGATGATCTTGAATGGAGAAAAAAAGGGGGCCCTTCAGAATAAGAAGGGAGAGGGGAAAAAATTACTTGTCAATTGTAGTCCCAGTGCTAATGAGGCTAATTGAGTGGGCTGGAAGCAACCCATACCTAGCTTTTATGTCAATAGGGTGTTGAATGTACGGAAAGCTGGTTTTATAATATGTTAACCAGTTCAAGTCTTTGTTCAGGCTAAGTGAGAGGGTGACAGATTTGCATATGAAGGTTAATTCTATACACATTCTCTCTGTAGCTGGCTTGTGAAATTCCTTTGTAGAAGAAGGGCTACTTTTAAGTCCACTAATGAGTGCCCAGGCAGTTAAAATGTTGCCCTACAGGTTTCTGTGTGTTACCATTTCTAATATCTGTTTTGTGTCCATTAATCCTTTACCTTAGACGCTGTCCAGTTTGGCCAATATACTTGGCAGAAGGGCATTGCTGGTACTCAATGGCATGTATCACATTAGAGGATGTGCAGTTGTATGAGCCCCTGATGTTGTGGCATATCTGATTACGTCCTGTGATGGTGTCACTGTTGTAAGAAGTAATTGATGCTGTGCCCCTTAGTCTCTCATAGGCTCCAGTTCAGCAATGTATTTAAGCAGATGCCCAAGTCTATCGTTATTCAGCCAAGCACCTAAGCATATGCTTACTATTAAGGACAGGCAACCCAACTCAACCTTCCTGCTCTCTTTCCTTCTCAGCCTCTTCCCCTCAGCTTCACTACACACTTGCCCCTCTTCCCCTCACCCTTTTTCCTTTCCATTTAGCAAAGACCCTCTTAAGCATATCCCCCCCAAAGTGGAACCAAACTGTCATTTGTGGCCACCTCATTGTTTGTTCTGTTTGTGTGTTCTACCCCTTTCCACACCCTGTCTGTTTAGATGGTAAGTTTTTCCTAGGAGGGACTGTCCTCTTCTTGTGTTGAGATAGGGTCTTGTTGTGTTAGGCACTGTTCTTGGCTGGCCTTTCAGCACAACAGTAATAAATATGTTAAATAATAAAAGTAATAAGATGCTTAAGTCCATGAAGTCAATAGCAAGTAAGCTCATGACTAAAGTTGATCATGTATTAAATACTTTGCTGGATGGGAATGGCCTTCGGTATTGGAACCTAAAGGACCTCATGCTGGCTCCAGTGAAGTCAATGAAAAGGTTCACGTGATCGAAATGGCAGATCCATCTAGCCTAACTGTAGTCCAGCTAATGCCCGCTCTGTTCCCACTACAAGCTGGATCTGATGTTAGTTTTATGTAAGGTATTACATGGGGCAATGTATTTTATACATCTCTCTGTTCTGTCATTGGAATTAATCTGTTTGTAAAGGAAGTTAGCTTGACCGATTTGCAGAGTTCTTTCTCTAACATTTGTGCAAATTTAAGGGAGGCGGACTTATAAATAAATGAAGATATATGGCTATCTCATAGAGCTGGAAGGGACCTTGGAAAGTCATTGAGTCCCCTGCTTTCACAGCAGGACCAAATACCATCCCTAACAGATTTGCCCCAGATGCCTAAATGGTCCCCCCTCAAAGACTGAGCTCACAACCCTGGGTTTAGCAGGCCCATGCTCAAACCACTGAGCTATCCCTCCCCCTTTGAGCAGGAGATATTCCCATATGCAATAAAACTATCCATACACTCTCAGTAGTGTCAAAAGTCACCCTGTGGCTGAGGTTTGTTATTACTAAAAATTAACAATAGGAAATCATTGTCCAGTCCAACCCTTCTCTCAGCCTTGATTTATCTCAGCTTCTTCAGCCACTCACATGGGTCATGGCTGCCTAAGACTCAATGAACCACATTAACAGCTGGTATAAATGGACATAGCTCCATGGATTTCAATAGTGTTACACTCACACTGATTTAGGACCTGATCCATTTTCTCTTTTTCACAGCAGCTCAGCTGTGAGACCTATGTCATTCCTGGGGGCCTGCCCCACCCCAAGTTTCATATTGTTGACAGTGGCTGTGGTCAGCTGTAGCTCCTGTCTCTAGGACAGGGCATTAACCCTCTTGCCCTTTTCTATTATCAAATGACCACTTCTGTGACATGGGGTATATGAAAAATGAGATTCCATGTCTTTTCTTTGATGTTGCAATTTAGCTTAGGAGAGGTAACAGAGATTTGAATAAAGCAAGTTTCCACAAGGAAGGTGTGGGACCTTCTCTAGCAATCTATTTTAACATTATTATGCATAAAAATACAAGGAGGGGTCACTGACACTATTGTTCTTCAACTGAATGTGACTGAAAATTGATACCCGGCTGGAGAAATCTGTTCCACCGCCTAGAACCACTCTTATTTGGAAACCTATTTTAAAAAATTTCTGCAACATCTTTGCTGATATACTGGGTACATTTCTGTGCAACTTTCATTCAGAAAGGATTTTATGTTATCTGTTGAGAGATTTAAGACCCTGCTTCACAAGCTCTAGTTGAGACAAGTTTCCAACAGAAAAGTTTCTATCAGAAAATACTGATTTGATGATGTTGGATCATTTTGCAGGAATACATCCATTTCTTCCAAATAGTTGTAATGTTTCATTTCAATAAAGTTGAAATATTTCATTTCCACTTTATCATTTCTACTTGTATTGCATTTTAAATATATATAATTAGAAGTATTTTGATTTTTCATATTCTCTCTCAATTATAATATAACACAAGTTTAAATA